CTATAGTCAGCGAAGGGAAAGCATCCACCGAGAGTGGTCCAGAACCAGCCGAAGGGCAGGGAGGTTGCTAAACCTACACCTCAGCGACACCAGGAATAAGGAAGCAAGTGGTCGGGAGGTTTGTCTGTCTGGAGCTGTGCTGCACGTTGGCCGGAGCACAGCCTCCTGGCTCTGCTGATCTTCTACGTAACAAGCCCCCCGGTATGACCTGGAGTTAGCACCGGGTATTTGACTGGTCAAATGAAGTTGGGCCAATTGACTGGTCAAATATCAGTCAAAAATTGTCAAAAGAACTGTCTATAGGTTCAAATAATAATGGAAAAAGTGTGCTTTTTCTGTTCAAGAAATGTGTCAAAAACAATTTAAAAAAATCATATTTCTGTCGAGACAACTACAAAAAATGTAGTTTTGTAAAATCACAATAATTGACCGGTCAAAAAATACGCAGTCAGTTGACTAGTCAGTTGACAGTATTTGACCCTTCAATCGCGTGACTTGCCAACCCTACCTGGAGCTTCCCATGTGCAGCTTATTAAGTATTTCTTGCTCGGGCATAAGAGCTGGAGATATCTTGGGAGATGGTGAACAGATGCAGGTGGGAAGCCCCGAATCACACAGTGGTGAGTAATGTAATGTGGTAGATGTGCCTGCTGTGCGCAAACCGCTGTGGGTGATGTGCACTGCACCGCACGTGACAGCAGCAGGCGTCCTCGGCCAGCTGTCATCCAAACGCTACCCGGTGTGGTGCCCGCAGAATCCACCCAAGGCACTTGGCTGTCCTCAGGTCGCCCAACTGTCTTATCAGTCTGTCCTTGCCGGAAGACCTGGGCTGGCCCTGAATCCAGTTAGGCTCCTCTCCCCTGCAGTGCAGATTGCTACTTGGCAGGGTGGGTACTATCTCCCCCTAACACCTGGGTGGTGATGGTCCTAGTGGGCAGAACAGTGGACTCATACTCAGGAGACCTGGGTCCTTTTATTGGTTCAGCCACTGACTTGTTGGCTGGCTTGCAAGCGGTTTCAGTTCTGTAAAATGGGACCAATCAGTCTGACTACCTTTGTAACATGGGGTCCCCTGATGCCAAGCTCCTCAGAAGAGCTAGGGAGGAAAGGCTAATGCTGATTATCTGCAATGCAGGCAGGAAGCATAGGCTATAAGGGGTTGCTTTAAATGCCTATGAACACCGCTATAGGTATGCACACACACGTGTGTGCACACGCACGCACATCACACATAACGCAGCTGTACTGCCCCTTAGGAGTGGGCTGGAAATGACTGGCAGGCATAGCATGAGTTTTGAACAATGTTTTTATTATATGTTTAGTGTTCTCTATACAAAAAAATCAGTTTGTTTTTTTTAACAGTGATTCAAAAAAAAAATGATATCTGACTATTTTGGCCTTTTTCATCACTCATGCAGTCAGTTTTTAAGTCCATATATAAACATTTCTCTGTAGCCCATAAATTTTGCTGTAAATCATCACTTTACAGCCTCAGATATATGTTTATCGCTGGGGAAAGTGGGTCAACACAAAGTAACTTGTTTCTTTCCTTCCTTTTCTTTTTAAAAGGCAAATAAATACATAGAATGTATTAGAATGACCAGGAGGTTTTACATAGAGGTGATTAAATATTTACAAATAATAATAATAAAAAAAACCAGAACCAAAATAGTCAATATTTTCTTCCGGACATAAGCTGGGAAAACAAACGTATGAAACTTTATAGTGCAAAGGAATAAATCTGTTTTGCAGAGTTGACACCGGGGTTCAGGCTGCGACTGACATCACATTCAAAGAACGATGCCCACTTGAAAGAACACAGAGACAGGCATTGCTGGGCAAAGGGAAAAGCCACTGATCATATTGGTTTTATTTAAGGATCAGGAAAGCGTTATTATTTCCTCTGAATCAAGTGGGTTGTAGTGCACGAAACAAAACATGTTCTTCATCTTTACAAGGTTTTTATATATATCTTTCTCTACATATATATTTTTATTGCTTAACTGAAATCTGTTGCCGCTAGTACAGAATTAAGCCCAGAACAATGCACGTTACGTTACAGATGGGAAGCGCTGCTCTGCTGGGACCTACGCTCCGGAAAATGAATTCAATGGATTCTTCCCAGGAAAGCTGCTGGCTCGGATGGGAAAAGGCCACAATGGATCGAATGAGTGCCGCTTGTCAGATAAAGTGTGTAACAAGAGACAAAATCCTAATGATCAATAATTGACCATGTCTAGCTCTCCAACCAGAATATCTTCAGCGGGAGGCTGCATCTTGTCTAGTCTCCTTAAACACAGGTCATAATAGGCAGATTGATCTCTGGGGGTCAGAAACTTACTACAGTAGTTGACCTTGAGGTCCTTTTTGCAAGGTGGAAATGTGGGAAGGGGGCTGTGTGCGTGGGAGGGAGAAGGCAATGACCTACTTTCCAGCCAATTTAGACCATTAGTATTTCCGTAAGCAGGAGGACTTCAAGAGAATTAGCTACCGCTCCATGGTTCAATCGATCCTACACCCTTAGTGCCTGCAAGGAAAGTGAGAAGCAGCCTCAACATCCGGTGGATGCGACTCCAGCTTCTCTCTCTCTGCTGTATTTCCAAAGGAGAAAAAATGGAAACTTTCCCTCATGAGGCCACATTAAACAGCTTGGAGTTTGTCTTGGAGCTTCCTCTGAGCTTATGTGGAGGGTTCTTCTTCAGCCTGTTTTAAATATAGGCCCGAGCTAGCTAAGTTTAGAACCAGACCAGGACTTTTCCCAGGCGTTGAGCGGCCTTTTGATTTGGGATTTTGGTTCAGGCCTTTCTCTCATTTCTGCTATATTCCCGAATTAGAATTCTAACTAGGGAGGTGCCAGCTTGCATGACAGGGCAGCTGGAAGTCCTGCCCGCATCTGGGATGTGTTGAGTTTTTCTGGGAACATCCCTTTAACGACGTAAGATTGTTTAGGCCGAGGAAGGAGTGTGCTTAGAGGAATGCCCCACTATGGTGCCAGTTATACGGAGGTTCCCTTGAAATAAGCCTGGCTTTGGTGGGTTTAATGGCTCGTGCTGGTTAGATGAGCTATGCAGGGGGTGCCTCTCTGGCTCGTACTGCAGCAGGTGTACAGCAGCTTGGATGGATCCCCGCGAGAGACGGAGAGAGAGAGAGGAAGTTGACTCATCCCATCTTTCTGAGCTAACCTTCTCAAATCCCTCTTCACCTAGGCAGATCACTGTTCCCTTCAGCAGGTCTCCTAAAGTACACCTCCGTCAAGATTATTAATAGCTAATAATTCGCCCAACTAAAAGCATACTCTGAGGCAGGCATTATGGGTGTTAATAACTCTGGGGCCATTATGGTAATTTGACAGTAAGGTCTCTAACAAGTCATGCGTATATTAATTCAGCGTTTTGGTGGCTTTCATAGTCAGAGGGCCGTGCAAGCAGTGATGGAGCTCCTTACGGCAAACTGACTGGACAGAGAAACTGCTATTAAATCCTTATGAAAAAGACCCAGGGTACAGAAGAGAAAAGAGAGTGTTAATTTCTGTGTAGCTTTTGAACCTCCCTGGAGGTGCAAGAGATATATCTGCTTACTAGAAAACTGAAGTGGGTGCTTAAAAAGATGACAAATATTGGGTTTTTAAACTTTTGTCTTGCAACGTTTAGAATAATTTGCATAGAACCTGATCGCCTTTCTGTAGAACCTTATTCATTTCTTCCTTAGTAGTTTATGCAGGACTGGTCCATAAGGGAGGAGTGTCCTGTGTCTCGCTTTTGTGGACACGGATCTATCCCTGGCATAACACTGACTTTGACAGAGTTACACCAGTGCTAAGTTGGGATCACTGCATCCTGTATAAGCCTGTCCTTCCTTTTATGCTTGCTCAAGAAACAAGTAATGCAGAGAAAGGCTTCTGCTATTACTGTTGCCTGACTGACCAAGCCATCGTCGGTATGACCCGTCCAGTCTTTCTGAGCCGGCCTTCTCAAACCGTTTATCCAGGCAGATTCTGGTGCTTCAGCGGGTAATCTCTGAAACAGTTAAAAACCATAATAAACCCTCATCTCTTTCTATTTGCAAACAGCTGTTATGTGGGCAGCCTAGTAAAATGATTCACGGGGACACAGTGTAGCTTGTGTGAATGCACAGTAAATGGGCACCGTTCACAGGACCAGCTGCTCTCAGCTACACCCTTGTAACTCCACAGGAGTTGTAAGTGGAACATGGAGATAGCGAAGTGTGTCCTATCTGATGGTAGTGACTGACCCACCTAGAGGGTTAAGAGCTTCCTCCTGCCAATGGGAACATTACATTAGCTCAAACGGTACAGGTTGGTGGTCGAGATGAAGGTCACAGGCTCTTTCCTGGCTGGTTGGGGAAAATGTTTTAGAAATGATTTGACAGAACATGAATGAATGCTCATTGCTTTTAAAGTCCTGGATGCCTCGGAAACTCAGGTTCACTTAACGTTTGGTCTGTGGCGCTCTGAGCTTTTTAGGAAGTGTTTGCTTTGCCCCCTGGAAAAAGGTTGTTGAGAAGCTCCTCTGGCAATGGTACAATGCTAGGGGACTCCATTAGAATTAGGTCTCTTGCTTTAATACATGAACACTGACAATGATAAAGAGATGTCTCCCATTTTCCCCTCTCTCAAGAGAAACGTGGGCAAACCCCTTTGGCATGTGAATTCCTTGGGGGTTTCCTTAAACACCAGCATGAGGGACCCTGGGTAGCAGGGAGCAGCTTTGCCAGTCTGTTAACAGCAACCTGTGACACTTCAAACTGTGCATCTGACTCTTCTGGTGCAGCTAAACTCTCCCTTCTGCTTCTCTTGCTTGACTTGACCAACCCCGTTGCACAGCTGTTGACTTAATCTAGGTTTCTTTCCTTGAAATGAAAAGTAGCCACGCTGTTAAAGATCACAGCAGCTTAAAGAAAATGTGGCAAGCATATCTAAACAATCCCTTCTTAGTAGGAACATCCTTGTTAGCAACGTGTCTTTGTAGCCAACCAGTTGAAAAGCTAAAAGAACAACTGTATTAATCCTATAGCATTTAGTCCATTAGGCTGAACAGAAATGCCTTTTAAAACAAACACAAACATCCATCCTAACTTTGTTGAACAACCATGAAACCGGCTGAAGAAATGTGAACTCTCTCAGTGAAGGTACCTTTGGTTTCAAAAGTGCAGGAAGTGGGGAGAATACATGTGGCATTGCCGCTAATTACTGTCTATTATAAAACGCTACCTTCTACTATGTTCCATGCTTTCTCTGCTGGGAGAGCTGTGCAGGCATCCTATTCCCATGGGCCTGACAGACTGGAGACCATCGCATCAGGGGCTTAAGCGGTGGGTGAATCGTCTTAGTTTGTTAAACGTCAGGGGGAGTTCTGAAGCTGGATAAGGCGTGTGTAGGAGCACTGTAATACCAAACTTTTCCTGTTCAAGACACGGATTACAGTTGTATTAGCAGGTTAGTTTTAACGAGCGTTCTTGATATGTAAAGAACAAAATGGGTGCAAGTCCCACACTACAGCCTGCCACGCCCGGAAGTGTCTCCTATCGGCTGACTGATCAAGGAGGGGGGTGGAAGGCCACTGGAGTGAACTAAGAGGAGAGAGGGTTAACTGAAAGCCATGTTGCACTGAATTGCTCCAATGTAATGGGGGGAGAGGCTGCATACCCTGCATTTCTGCCATTTACAGCCATGTTTTCATGCTGCATACCCCACCAGACTGGGGGTCCTGGAGCTTTTCAAGAAGCTGATCTGTAGCTTCAGTGCAGGTTAGTGCTCACTGCTGAGATGCTATCGCATCAGGGTTATAGGTAGGAAACCAATCCCTGGTCCCTTGTCCTGTGTTAATGCTGGTCCAACCTCCCCTTCCTCTTTGCTACATAATGAGTTGTGTGGGCTTGAGGGCAGAAGCTATGGGTTTGTCTTTTGCCTCTCACAAAGAATAAAAGAAAACCAGTTCCCTGTCATTATCCAGGCAAACGGTTCTGCTCTCCCTCACTCACTTGGGGTCAGAATATAAAGCTGCATCTTTCTGCCCTTCGTCAAGTCCCATACCGTTTCTTCCCCAACTTCCCTTTCTTCAAAAGCTTTGCTAAGTAGCATGGATGCAGAATAATTTCGCCCACAGTCTGTGCGCGCCGGGCGGTAGTACTGCGGTGACCGAACCAACGTGGGAGGGTAGCACTAATAAGAGGTACAACACAACTCTGACCGTTCCAGCAGCAAGCCCTGGAAACCACCTTCCTGTGGGACTCCAGTGTGATGCTGCTCGATCTTTCAGGAAGGAGCACGGCGGTGCGGGCATGTTTGCTAAGGGTCATGAGCGAGGTGCTGGCTGTATAGATGTCCATCTCAAGTACAGTCCCAGAGAACTCCCCATCGATGAAGCAGCATATCACTACTCCCCAGAGCTGATGGACCCCCCCCTTGATTTTTGCAGTTTCATGCTATTATCCCCATTCTCTTCCCCCATCTCCTCCCCCCCCACTTCTCTCTTTTTTTAATTTGGGGCCTTTCCCCAAGGGGAAGGGAATTTGAACCCATAAAGTGGAGGGGGAAGCAGGGGGAACAAAAGCAGGACGGGGTAAATCATTAGTCAGAGTGAGTGCTAGGTTATCTAATAGACGGGGGTTGCCAGTCCAGATCTGAAACCTGGGGTGTACAATTTGTGCGTCCTACTCTTCCTCTAGCCCCTTTGGCTCTGTTCCAGTTTCAGCCACAGCTACCACACGTTGGCACCCCGTGGGTCCTCGCCCTTTGCTTGTTTGCTAAGGATAGAATGGCATTGGCGACCACCTAGCCTGGGTTCGTTTGCTTTGCTTTGTTTCTTGTGGTGGATCTGGTTTGTTTTTTTTTGTCGTTTTGTATTTGGGTTCCTGGTGATGGTGGCAGTGGTTTGACCCCCATCCACGGCATATATATTTGTGATTTGTGGTTTCACTATAGCGCACTATGCCAGCGAGTAGATAGCATTGACTGGGGACGTGGCTTCTGAACTCTCGTTGCCTTCTGTCTCCTCTTTGTCCTTCTTGACTGTGTACTGGCCGATAAAGGAGCCGTCCTCGTTGAACTGCCCTTCGCCCCCCTCTCCATAGTCCACCAAGCTATCATCGCTCTCCTGCTGCTTTATTGTGCCATCCAGGGAGGTCTGGCTGTTGGGCAGCGGCTTGTTGTCTTCATCACTGGGTAGCAGAAGACAGACAGACAGTCAGGATTGGGAGTGCAGCCTTAAAGGGACTTTTCTAAAACCTGGGAGCTGGGTATCCAAAAAAAACCCCTTGTGTGCAAATGTGCTCCTTCTTGATGGCAAATCTGCAAGGGATGCAGGTAACTGCCTGCAAATGGGCAGTCACAGTTTGCCCAGTATGTTCCTGAGGCTACTGTGACCTGTCACATATGTTATGCACTTAGTTGCACGTGTAGTTTACACACTTGATTTTTTTTTTTTTTTTTTGTTCTTAAACCACCCTTT